TCCAGAAGCGTGGCTTACCTCATGCTCATATTTTATTATTCATGGGGAACGCAGACAAATATCCAACGCCAGCAGACATTGACCGCATTATATCAGCTGAAATTCCTGATGAGAAGGGTGATCCTAACTATTTCAAAGCAGTGTGCACACATATGATGCACGGACCGTGTGGCACTGATGCAAAGAAAGCTCCTTGCATGGTTCAATCTAAGTGTTTGAAGCACTTCCCAAAGAATTTCAACGAGGAAACTAATGTTGATGAAGAGGGTTATCCTAAATATAGGAGGCGAAATGATGGAAGAACAATTGTCAAAGGTGGCGTTCCACTAGACAATAGATATGTTGTCCCCCACAACCGGTCGTTATTAATGAGGTACGGTGCTCATCTGAATGTCGAGTGGTGCAACCAATCCAGGTCTATAAAGTATTTATTCAAATACGTCAACAAGGGACACGATCGTGTCACAGCTGGATTTTATGAGACAACTGGTAAAGATCACACTGACAAACCTGTTGATGAAATAAAAATGTACTATGATTGTCGGTATATTTCTCCATGTGAGGCAATGTGGAGAATTTATGGATTTCAAATTCAGTATAAGAATCCACCTGTTGAACGATTGAGCTTTCACTTCCACAATGAACAATATGTGTATTTCGAAGATGGTGCATCAGTTAATGATGTCGTGTTGCGTGAATCTGTTAAGGAGAGTATGTTTCTTGCATGGATGAAAGCAAATGCTAAGTACCCCGAGGCAAGGGATCTAACTTATGCGGAATTCCCACAAAAGTTTGTGTGGAAAGAAAAAACAAGAGAATTTGTACCTCGACAAAAAGGATTTGTAATAGGCCGTCTAACGTATGTGCCACCGGGTTCAGGAGAGTCTTATTATTTGCGATGTGTGCTTAATTTGAAGCGTGGGGCTACAAGCTATGATGATCTGAGAACTGTGGATGGAATTATACATAATACATATCGCGAGGCATGTTTCGCTTTAGGGTTGTTGGACGATGACAAGGAGTACGTTGAAGGGTTTTCAGAATGTAGTTATTGGGCTACTGCATGGTTACTTAGAAAGTTGTTTGTGATTTTATTGGCAGCAGATACAATGAGTAGACCAGAATATGTGTGGGATAAGTGTTGTACATTTATGTCAGATGACATTGTACACAGGCAAAGAAGAGCGTTAATGCATCCAGGTACTAAACAATTTTAATTTCAAACATACATATACCTATACACAACTATGAATGTGTGTGTGTGTACACACACATGTGTGTGTGTTCATGTATATTCAAAAGCATACATTATATATTACACATGTTATTTGATAATGGTCTTTTCATACGTGTAATATCAGATTTGAAGTTGACCGAGGATGAGATTAAGAATTATGCATTGACTGAAATAGAAATGATGTTGAGAAGGATCGGTAGGACTTTAAAGGACTATCCATCAATGCCATTTCCCACGATAAGTGATACTGCCATGTATCAAAACAAACTGATTTTTGACGAATTGCAATACGATCGTGCTGCTCTACGTGAAGAGCATGACAGATGCATACTGAGTCTCAATGATGAACAACGTCAGGTGTACACAACCATTATGCAATCTATTGAAAAAAACAGTGGTGGGGTGTTCTTTGTATATGGTTATGGAGGTACAGGGAAAACGTTTGTGTGGAAGACGTTGTCAGCTGCTTTGAGGTCCAAAGGAGAAATTGTTTTGAATGTTGCTTCAAGTGGCATAGCAGCTTTATTGTTACCAGGCGGTAGGACGGCTCATTCACGCTTTGCAATACCAATCAACCCTAATGAAAACTCCACGTGCAACATCAAACAGGGTAGTGCACTTGCTCAATTGATCATTCGTTGCAAACTGATTATATGGGATGAGGCGCCGATGATGCACAAGTATTGCTTCGAGGCCTTAGATAGAAGTTTGCGGGACATCTTGAGATTCACTAATTCAAATAGTGATGAAAAAATATTTGGAGGGAAAACTGTGGTATTCGGGGGAGATTTCAGACAAATTTTACCTGTCGTTACAAAAGGAACTAGACAAGACATTGTGAATGCCACGATTAATTCTTCCTATATTTGGGCACAGTGCTCGGTATTACGTTTGACGAAGAACATGAGGTTGCAATCATTGACTGGTGATCATGAATATGAAGATTTGCTTGAGTTTGCAAAGTGGATTGCGAGTTTAGGGGACGGGAATGTGGGGGAAGATAATGATGGTTTTGCCGATGTTCAAATTCCAAAAGAGTTTTTGTTAGAGTGTGGAAGCGACCCCGTTGCCACTATTGTCCATAGCACCTACCCAAACTTTGAAAATATTGTCAATGACCTGACGTACTTGCAACACCGCGCAATCCTGGCTCCAACCCTCGATGTTGTAGATGCAATCAATGAATACATGACTTCTCTGAATGTTAACGAAGAGTCAAGAACCTATCTGAGTTCAGATACCATTTGCAAGTCAGACTCCAATGCTGATTTTCTGGCTGATTTACATACTCCAGAATTTCTGAACAAAATAAGAGCGTCTGGAGTTCCAAACCATGAGTTAACCCTCAAGGTTGGTACTCCAATAATGCTTTTAAGGAATATTGATCCATCGATGGGGCTTTGCAATGGAACAAGGTTAATTGTTACACGACTTGGAAATCACATCATAGGGGCAAAAATCATGGGCGGCAAATATGCGGGACATGAAGTTGTCATTCCGAGGTTGAGCTTAACTCCTTCAGATTCAAGAATACCGTTCAAGTTTCAGCGAAGACAATTTCCCGTCATGACCTCTTATGCGATGACTATAAATAAGAGTCAAGGACAATCTTTGACTCATGTTGGACTCTTATTGAAAAAGTCGGTGTTTACACATGGTCAACTTTATGTTGCAGTGTCAAGAGTAACAAATCCTAAGGGTTTGAAGATATTAATATGCGATGAAGATGGTCAACCAACGTACCATACCACAAATGTTGTTTATAAAGAAGTTTTTCGCAATGTGTAGACTGTGAAACACTATCTAACATTTCCTTTTATCTACTTATTCCAACACATACTTACTATCTATCTCTGAGTTTTCAATATTCAATTAAAAGTTCTAATGCATGTTTCGAGTAACACTATTTCCAAACATTTCACACGCGTACATTGTTTACAAATAATATCATATCACTATTTCATTCTTATATCCCGCGCATCGCGCGGGTGAGAATCTAGTTAATTATAAAAGGAATAGAAATGTAATGTTTACTTCTATAATAGAAATTTCAATTCTTGGCCTCTTAGAAAGTTTGGGGTTCCTAACCTCTTTGGTTAATTGTTCAAAAGTAGAAAACTAACTTCACAATTTAATTTTTTGTTTACATTATTCGGGACTGAAATCCACATCCACGGCTTCTAAATCGTCCAAGTGGTCCAACCAACTGAACCAAGCATGGTTTGTATTTGAGTCTCTTTTTCTAAACAAACAGTGAAGACGTGAAGTAGAATAGTATCATGGCTGTGGGACGATGCAATTGCCTGTTTGGGGGCAGCTCGATTGATTCCACAAACAGAATTTTGAATGCATAAGCTATGATCAAACGGTGTAGTAGAATCCACCAGACCACCACTCATCAACAAATCATGTAACTATGTAAGGAGGGAGGTATAGATAAAACTTGTATCATCTTTTATCTTTTCCAAGTCTTGATTCGATGTGATCTGATTTGTATAAATCTAATATGATTTGATCTAATATATTTATAAGTCTAGGATCGAAAATTCGAAATCAATCAAAGTGAAAAATATCTTTGGAGCTAGAATTTCAACAACAACACATCTATCATATGACATCGGAGTTTAAAACAATATATATGTAGGAAAATGAGACAAACAAACCATCACATGTATACTCTCCCTCCACTTCACTCTCTACAAAGCTGTACTCAATGTAAATCAAGTACCACATCATTCTTGACCACTCTAGTTAGGGGTGGACTCGGGTCCGGGCCAAGTCCGGGTCGGGCCTAGGCCCAGGCGGGCCGGCGGTTCAAGAATGGTGGACTTGGGACCGGCCCGGGTAGCCACCGGGTCCGGTCCAGGCCGGGCCGGGCCTCCGTTTTTTTTTGCTTTCCTAACCCCCACCCTCACCCCCACCGTCCCAAACCCATCCTACCCATCAAGCCCAACCCGGGTGGAGCCCCAAAAATGAAAAAAAAAAATCAATTTGGCCCGGGCCCGGGCCCGACCCAGCCGGGCCGGTTCACCAAAATTGAGACCCGAGTTCGGACCCACCTACCCCCCGGGCCTAGGCCCGACCCGGACCTGAGAACCGGGCTGGTCCCGGTCCCGCACAGTAGCGGGCCGGGTGGCTCGACCCGAGTCCAACCATAACTCTAGTCAACGTCTATATAGATCGTTCCCTTATTCACCTCTCTACCCGTCTACCTCATCTCTTCGCCTAGCAACATTTTGGCCGGACAAGGTATAAGTTTATTGTTTCTTGTGATGATTTCCGTTTTTACTCTTCCTTCTCACTCCCTCATCTATGCATTATTAGCCTCATATATGCATTAGAAAGCCATCAAAATTGTCACTAGCATATTATCTTGGAAAAATTGACAAAAATAATCTCACCTTTCACAGGTTTTCTCATAATAATCTCACTTTTACGTAATCTGAGAATAATCCTTAGCTTTACACCCCTTCTTTCGTTGTATCCTGACCTGTTGATGACCTACTATACCAGGAGTATCACCTTTCACAAATATGTTCAAAATGGTTTCATGTTCCATTTTTTCTTCTCCCTAAAATTTTTCTTTCTTTATTTTCATCCCTAGACACGTTTTATGACTTCTTCTATCATTTTGTTCTTATTTCTTTTCCATTTTTATTATTCTATTTCTCACTCTATTCGGAGAGTTTTTTTTTTGTAAAATTTCTCCTCAAAATAGCACTTTCTGTCATTTTCTTTTTCTTTCCGTATTTTTATGTCATTTCCCTTTTTATATTTTTCTTCTTAATCATTCTCTTCTTATTAAAGATCTTTTTCTCACTTTACTTTTTGTTATGTTTTTTTTTTATTTTCTTTTTGTTATGGTAATATTAGTTCAATCAACAATTTCAACCAACATATAATAAAACACTTTCATTTTATCAAATTTAGTCTTTTCAGTCATTTCGGCATTTATAGTCGTTACCAAAGAGGCCCTTAATAAACTTGTTTTTCGTGATTATGCACAAACTTGTTTAAATCCGCAATATAGAGATTATAGTCGCAAAACGGTTAAGAAAGAAATTTCAAGGCTTTATGGTGCGGAAAAGGTAAGGTTACAAAATTATTTTGAAAACTTTGATGGACGTGTTACTGTATGTTCTGACATATGGGAGGATACTTATCATAATTTACATTATTTGGGTCTGACTGTACATTATATTGATAATGATTGGCATATGCATAAACGTGTTCTTGCTTTCCGTGAATTTAATGATCGTCACACCGCTGAACATATTTATATTTTGATTGAACGTATTTTAATTGAGTATAATTTAATTGATAAGGTGTTTGCTATTGGTTTTGATAATGCTACTAATAATACTGCTGCTATTCCTAGATTGCGTGAATTGTGTGGTTCTACTTCTTTGATGGGTAGATTTTTTCATCAACGATGTGCATGTCATGTTCTAAATTTATGTGTGCAAGATGGTCTAAAAGCGTTGGGAGCATCGTTGGAGGTAGTCAAGGGGGGGATTAGACGTATTTGGGGTAATGGACACCTTAGGAAAAAATGGCATGATTATTTGATAGAAAGAGGTGAGAGATATGTGGCTTTTCCAAAAGATTTGTCTATTCATTGGAATAGTACCTATAAGTTAATTGGAGTTCTTCTTAGATATAAACAACATTTTCCTGCTTTTATGAAACAATATGATAACTATATTATAAACTCGGCTGAGATCGACACCTGTGAAAAAATTTGTAATGCTTTGATATATTTTAATAATGCAACTAAAACTTTTAGTCATGTTTATAAACCTACCTCAAACCAATTTATTCGTGAAGCTGTTAATCTCGCCGGTGCTTTTTCAAATTTTGAGAATGCTGATTATGTGAATTATTTTGCTGGTTTTATGAAGGAAAAGTTTTTAAAATATTATTCACATATTCCGCATATTTATGGTATTGCATTTGTTCTCGATCCTCGTTTTAGACTTGGTTCTTTAGAAGAATGTTTGAATTATTATTATGCTGCTTTTTTTGGTCCATTGCCAATGTATGAGGACAACCCAATTGATCCGAAAAAAGAATACAACGAGGTTAGTGATATATTTTATGCATTATTCAATGAGTTTCATGCACAATATGGCAATGCGCCCCCTCCCCCAACACAAATATCATCTAAAGGAAAATCAATTTTCAAATCTACGTTTGCCAATCTTATTAAAAAAACAAAATCAACTCCCGCTACAAAACAAAACACAATTAATGAGATTTCTTTGTATTTAACTTATGATGTTGATTTTGAAGAAGATGATGATTTTGACGTACTAAACTGGTGGAAGGGAAAAGAAAGAATGTTCCCGGTTTTAGCAAAGATGGCTAAGCAAGTGCTATCAATGCCGGTTTCAACGGTTGCCGTGGAACAAGAATTTAGTTCGGCCGGCAATGTTCTAACACAAACCAGAACGAGGTTGAGCGTTGAATCTCTTGAGATGCTTATATGCTACCACGATTGGTTGAAAGCAGCACGTAGAGCTCAAGAAATTGACATCACTCCATCCCAACACTTTATGGATGAATCTACAGAGGGTGGCTCTACTTATGCCGGAGATTCCGATTAAAAACAATTCTAGTTCCTATTTAATTTTCAAATGTAGTTCCTATTTCATTTCAAATAAATGCACTTGAAGTTTGTTTTTTAATACTTGTATAAAACTATAAAGTATAAAATATAAATTTTTAAAAAAAAATTACCCGACCCGACCCGGCCCGGCCCGGCCCGGCGGGTGGCCCGACCCGTGACCCGGGCGGGTGGCCCGGCCCGAACCGGACCCGTCCAACCCTCGGGCCGGTCCCGGGCCCACTATTCTAGAACCGGCGGCCCGACCGGGCCTAGGCCCGGCCCGAATCCATCCCTACCTTAATTACTAATTTTTGAAAACTCATTTTTGTCCCTTTTCGGGTTTAATGCGTCAAATCCCCCTGTGATATGGAAATTCGACGAATTAACCCCATTTGATTTAATTAATGCGTCAGACCGCCCTGTGTTTTAATTAATTATGCGCAAAATCTCTTCTATGAACAAATTCAATTGTCAAATAAAAGAAAAAATGATTAACATTTTTGTATGATTTAAAGATTTTGACATATGTACTTGCATATTCAATCATAATATTAGGAAAAGTAATTTCCAAATCGTTAAATTTATTCATAAAAGGGATTCTACGTATGATTAATTAAAACACAAGGGAGTTTGATGCATTAAACCCGTCCCTTTTCCCATTAGTAACATGCCAATGTCACTGACTCACTCCAACATCAATTAAACTCCAACAAGATTAGCTACGGGATTGGCACATCAATTAAACTCCAACAAGAAACCACCTATCACGTTTCTCCTTCCTTATAACCCCTATCCGTCACTGCCCTCACATTTTAACTTTCGCCGGAGATGAAGGACGGTATGAAGCATCCGGTGGCGGAGGCAAACGAGGAGAGCCCATTTGGACCCTTGAGTCCTGAAGAGTTCTACTCGCGCCACTCAGTGAGCCACGGCACCGAGTTCATCACCAACTCTCGCGGCCTCAAACAATTCACCCAGTGGTGGACCCCTCTCCCTCCCGCGAAGGTGATTGGCACCGTCTGTGTCGTCCACGGCTTCACCGGCGAGTCCAGCTGGATGGTCCAGCTCACCGCCGTCCACTTCGCCAAGCAAGGGTTTGCGGTCTGCGCCATCGACCACCAGGGCCATGGCTTCTCCGACGGACTCGTCGCTCACATACCGGACATCAACCCCGTCGTCGACGACTGCGTATCATTCTTCGACTCGTTCCGCGACCGCCACGTGCCTCCGGAGCTGCCCTCGTTCCTCTATGCCGAGTCACTCGGCGGCGCCATTGCTCTGCTCATAACCCTCCGCCGCGGCGATTCCGCCCCGAAACGGCCGTTCGACGGTGTCGTTTTGAACGGGGCGATGTGCGGGATCAGCGATAAGTTCAAGCCACCGTGGCCGTTGGAGCATTTTCTGGACATCGCAGCGTACCTGATACCTACTTGGCGCGTTGTTCCCACTCGCGGCTCCATTCCTGATGTTTCGTTCAAGGTCAGATTTTGTCTCCCCATTCAAGTTTCAATTCCTCGTAGTATTCCATCCTAGAGTAATCTATCTTCGTTCTCGAAACTCAAATTTTCAATTTTGGCTGGTGTGATTGAAATATTGAAGGAGGAATGGAAGAGGAAGATGGCGATTGCTAGCCCTAGAAGGACGATGGGGAGGCCTCGAGCAGCGACGGCGCGTGAATTGCTGAGGGTATGCGGCGATTTGCAATCGAGGTTTGAAGAAGTGGACGTCCCGTTTTTGATCGTTCACGGGGAGAGCGACGTCGTATGCGATCCGGCGTGCGTGGAAGAGCTCTACAGACGCGCCGCCAGCAAGGACAAGACTCTGAAAATATATCCTGGAATGTGGCACCAAATGGTCGGTGAGCCGGAGGAGAATGTGGAACGCGTTTTCGGAGACGTTGTGGAGTGGCTCACGACTAGAGCTAACCGCGCCACCAATTGAAAGGCCGCCGCGTACGGCGGAAGACGGTAGCTAATTATTTGAAGTAAATTGAATTGGGTAATAAGTAGTTGGCAGTAATTAATAAAGAGTAATGAGTTGGGCCCATGGGCAAATATGATCTTTACCATTGGGGATTGCGGAATACGAAATGTAAGGCCTAAAGGGAACCCAAATGGTTTCTTTCAAAGAAAAATGTCTATATTCCCCATCTGTGGGTGTAAAAAGGGCATGTCACGTCATAATGTGTACATGAAAAACCACTCCTTAAATTCTTAATTAATGGATAGTGCAGAACTTCTTAAAAGTTATTTTATTTCTAAAATAGTTCAATGATAGATGTTTTAAACTTGATAAAATGATGATTTAATACTAATAATAATGGTGATGAATTGATGATATCAGACAGAAACAGGCAATTTAAAGCCTAAAACAATCGGGACTGAAATATTGTCTATCAAACATAAGTCAAAAAAGTCCAAAAATTCCAAATAAAACCCACTGAAACTAAAATAAAAACACATACTAGTAATGGAAAAATAAAATTGAATTAAAAGGTTTCCACAAAGTTCTTCAATATCTACGGAGACAAATACAGTATGAAAGATCCCACATTTTTGTTTCTTATGTGGGATTTTGGGACATTCAGCTCCTTTTTGCCCATTTAATACCCACAATAGACCTTGGATTGGAGAGAAGTTGTACGTTGCCTGGCTACGTGTAGATATGAGAAAAGGTAGTGTGCGTGCGGGAAACAAGTGGTTGATCCCTAATGGAAGCAGCTTTAACGGTAGGAAGGAAGGTTGAGACAGCTTGAGCAATATGAACAAAACTATTACGGCAGAACAATGTAGTTACATAGTGGAAGATTTTATCTCAAAGAGCGAGGAAGTGGTTGATTTTCAAGAAGAAGAACCAATGAAGCGCATAATGATTGAGGTTGTTAGTTATGAAGGCGTCCAAGCAAAAATGGACGTAGATGACGAGGACCCAAAAAACTTGCATTACCCAGTGATGGAGGATTTTTGTGATGTAGGGGACGAACGAGGAGGAGGGGGAGCTTTTTTCATTACCTTTGGCGGGGGCTATCAAACCGCGACTTTCATCCCAGTAGGTTGAAAAACCGATGCCTTTTATTCTAGTCATTGTCCTTTTTCTCATCAAGACATTCTAATAACTTTTAGTTATGTTTCTAGTAGCATGTGCAGCTATGTTGTTGGTGGAATCTATCACATTGCGAGATTAGTGAGTTGGTTCACTACTAAGCGGCATTTCAGTTATGTGTCTCATCCTGGTGTAGCCTCTATTTTGATGATTTTGTCTCTTGTTATCATTTTTAATATGAAGTGAGTTGTCTTTTTTCAAAAAAGAAGTTCGATAATCGGTTCTTAATTATCGAGGGGAATAAATGTTTGAAGTTTAAACTAATTTTAGAGTAATACTACAGTAATAATAGTCGGTTCTTAATAATAAATCCAGGCCGATGTCCGTACTAGACACCTTAGCTAGTGACATCTCGTCCGGACAAGACAAACATCCCAAACCTAATCACTCAAATACAAGGAAAACACGAAGGACAACGAGCACACGCATCTCGACCTATAATATAATAATATATATGCACTGATACTAGGGATGGACTCGGGTCCGGGTCGGGCCTAGGCCCGGGCGGGCCGGCGGTTCAGAAATGTTGGACCCGGGACCGGCCCGGGTAACCACCGAGTTCGGTCCGGGTCCGGGCCCATTATTTTTTTTTGTTTTCCTCTTCCTAATTAACCCCCCTCCCACCCCCAACCCCCCAAACCACTCCAAATGGCACAAAATACCCAGCCCAACCCGAAAATTTAAAAAAAAATTGAAAAAAATAGGTTTTGGCCCGAACCGGGCCCGGCCGGGTCGGGCCTTGTTTTGGGTGACCCGAGCCCGGACCGGAAAACCTACGGGCCGGGCCTACCCGGACCGGTCACTGACCGGGCCACCGGGTCGGGCCGGGCCGGAACAGTACCGGTCCCGGGCCGGTTCCGGGTCGGGACACCCGGCCCGAGTCCATCCCTAACTGATACACTATATTCATAATAGTCAAGCGGTGAATATCAATTGTTCACCACATCTTAGAGAGTCTTTGTTATACATATGTTTTTTTATACGGAGTACATTAGAAAGGACTTAATAATGTACTTGATAGACTATAAATCTAGAGAGAAGTGAGAGCTAGAGAGAGAAGTAGTATATTTGCTCTGTATTAATGAATTATGAACCCTTTACATGGCTCCCAAGGGGAGTATTTATAGAGGAAATTAGGGTCGGCTCCCAAGTCTTGGGCTTGAGAGACCCATTTACAA